TTTTTTTTTGTTTGTTTGGGTTTTTTTTTTAAACATTATTTTAGTCAGTACCAAATTTCAACACACTCCCCAGCTTTTAACCCATGAATCCAGTTGGAGGAGAGCAGCCTGCAGTACAGACAGCAATAACTGTGTTGTGTTTGGCTTGCCAAATTGTTTTTTTTTTTTTTTATTCCCATTTTGTGACTTCAGTCAGGACAATAAAGTAAAAAAAAAATCGTCTATTATAATCCAGTATTTTAATCAGTGCAATATTCAAAATCCAACCCAAAATAAAAAACTGTAACTCTCATTAGTTTTTAAAATGTCAGAAAATTGTGAAAAATGTTGATAACTGTTTCCCAAACCCAAGGTGACGTCCTTATGTCTTGTTTTGTCCACAACCCAAATATATTCAATTTAGAAGCTGAAGTGAGATAATTTGGAAGATTTTTTCTTAAAAAATGTCTCAAAACAATGAATCATAATAAAACGTAGTTAGGCAATTGATTTAAAAGCTAATAACTAATGTATTTATTTACTAATCATCCTAGCTCTATGTATTGCAAGCAATATTACTTTATTGTTATTATCTTTTACTGTTTTATTGAAGCTCTTTATCTTGCTATCATCATTATTACAATTACATCTAATATATACATTGAGCTTTCCTGTCCCCACACAGAGCATTACAAAGCAAATAAAGGTAATATAGGCAATGGATTCCAGATGTATACTAACTGCATGGAGAGGTTAGTTAAAGGTTAGCTAGTGCAAGCGGTAAGTGGGTTTCCTTCTTGCATAGCATTTAATCTAATATTTAAAGACATTCAGGAAGAACAGCAGCCAATAGAATCAATGGGAGGGTGTAAATTGATCTGATTTGCAACAAAGAGACATGCACTAGTGGATATGCAAAAGGAAGGCTGTACCATATGGCAAACTCAGGCTTGGGTCAAATAATAGCAGAAAATAATATTAAAATAATATCTATTTAATCCTGCTTTTATCTTACCAGATGGGGTTTCCATCAGTGCAGTTTAGACGGGGTTAATCAAAGTGTAGTATTGTAGCTTAACTGGACTTAAATGGTCTCGTATGTTTGAAAGGCTATTTGACAAAGTCTTAACCATGTTGTTTATTCATACAGTAGCAGGGTGTAATACAAGTAGAACACGCTGTGAAGGGAAAGTAAGACATCACCTCACCCCATGTTAACAGAATGTGACACCTTGTCACAACTAATTCATAATGACTAACATAGAGGGGTGTCTTTATTCTGCTTGATCGACAGATTATCCCATTATCCATTAGTTACGTCATCAGTAACTACTAAAAAGCTTTTCTCCATTTTTTAAAAAAAAAAAAAAAAAAAAAACTAACTCAGCAATAGGAAGTAGACCAACAGCAGTGCATCAGCACAACCATGACAAGTAGTAGATGACAACGGGAGAATGAGAGAAAGGGAAGGAAGGAAGGAAGCCATGGGGCGGTTAAAGTCCTGATCAACAATGGCTCTTTTTCTTCAAAGAGACACACAATGGTCTGGCCCACATTTCATTCACAAGCAGATTGTGAGTGTGAGATGATGCACGGCACGGTTGACCACAAATAGCCACATGACACTAAAGTGTCTGCGTTTCATTGAGGGAAGATGAGAGAGGAGCGAGCGGGAGGAGAAAGACACTTATCAGTGTAAAATGTTCTCTTTGTTTCTCACAGCTTGTATATGTTCATGGGGTGGAAGACGTCCACTGTACACACTGCTGAGTGTTTCGCTGCTCTTCTGGCTCCACAGTGTGCAGAACTTAAAGGCAGCAGCATTGTTCAGATGCTGTACTCTACAAAACCTGACCTTATGCAATAATAATAAACCTGTTTCAAGAATGTGATTTATTCAATGCCAACTATAATTTCAGAGACAGAGTCCCTCCAGGGTAGCGCTGAGAAGAAAGCAGAGTGTTACTCTAGCAATTAGTGCTGACATTAAAAGCATAATTCACATTATTAGCTCTGATTAATTCCCATCACAGTCGCCTGAAGTCGGCAGGTATGTGTTGATCTGCATTATGTGATTTGTGTGACGTAATTCATCAAAATGTTATTATGCACTCCAGTGTTTATATTGATTCAGTATGCAACAAAAATCAGGCAGCTTCACATACTACGGTGGTTACCCACTTTAAGCAGTGCAAATCATTATTTTACTAAAAGATTCAGTCTATTCTAGAAATGTGTTGGCAAATTTACTTTCTTCCGTGATAAATGCACAGATTCCCTTCTGCACAGTAACATGTGTAGTAGAAAAACACCATTGAGAATGCCTTATTACATTTACATTTACATTTATAGCTGTAGCAAAGACAATATTTATGGACTGGAAAAGGGGGTATAAGCTGATCATATGACAGACTCCTAACATTGAATGTTTTGTGTAGATCTCTCGGTGTTGTTCTTATGAGTCAACAGTTAATTATATGCGTTTCATTAATCTGTCTCACTGTAAATCTTGTGACAGCAATGACAAACAAGACTCTGACTAGCTTTGAAAGGGATTTTCTCCTGTACCCTGAGGAAATTGATATTGTCATCAATCACAGTATCTTCCGGCACTGTACTCATACTGGAATAATACATCTTTCTTGGGTTATAACTTTTTTTGTGGCTTGTTGAGACTAATTTAAAAGGTCCATTGCTATTACGATTAGTTTTCAAGATGTTCATACCTTGTTTTCCCAGTTTAATTTTTCATTTTTAAGATGGATATTATATTCATAAACATCTCTGAAGATTAATTTACAATTTATTTACACTCTGTTTTTGTGGGTATGCTTTTGTCAGCCTTACTGCTACCCCTTCTTTAAATTGGCACCTTTGTCTAAGCTTCACCACCCACAGTTTAGAACTGTGTGTTGGTGTGTGTATGTGTGCCCTAAGCTGTGCCAGCTGAGTTCGTAGTAAACACCCCTACGCTGTCCTCATTTGACAGAGGTTAGAGAGATGCCAGGAAAAGACCTCCGTGTGTGTGTGTGTGTGT